AAAGATGGGGGCTTTAGGTGGAGAATCGATTATGACAAGCGAAAGTAGTGATAATAAGACGTGGAAAATTTGGAGTGAGAGTGTTGAGAAGGTTAGGGAGCTGAGGTTTGCGTTAGATGGTAGCGTTGTTGATACTGGTTCCAGTCACAGTCAACTTAATGGTAAGCTTTGCATTTGAATGTATTAAATGCTTTTATACTTCTTGTAGACTGACACTAATCATGCATCTAAGACGAAAATAAAATAAAATAAAAATAAATCGATCTGATACAGATCATACATCGTAAGCAAAAATCCTGACATGCTTTTCTACGAATCTTAAACAATTAATTAAGATTATACTTGAGATGCAGATCATTCTCAGGTTTAATTTCCATTGAGAGTGAAATAGTGCAGTCATTTATGAAGTGGAATTTTATACACAGGCTTAATTTTAATTTCAAAATTATGCCATTATTTTCCTAGCTGGTTTAAAGTCCTATCTTTCAAAGTTTAAATAGATTTACTTCATTGAATTATTGTGCTATGTTTTGTTCTTAAACGATGTAGGTAATAAGCTCGATTCGACTCAATACAGTGTTGAGAATGTAGCTGAACGTGATTTTTTACGCACGGAGGGGGATCCTGCTGCTGTGGGATATACTATCAAAGAAGCAGTAGCACTTATCCGGAGTGTGGTCAGTACTGCTTAGCTACGTAAATACTGCCATCTCAGTTCTCTTTGTATGTGCTTTATGATATTTAGCATTGAGTGCCTGGGCAGTCTGAACTGTTAGAAGTTGGAACATCTCAGATTCTGACACGAGAGTACTTTATTTAATAGACCCGAATGAACATTTTTTCTAAAGCTATGAATGTCAAAAAGTATTCAGGTTTAAGCAATCAGTCAATTTTGAGAGAACTCCAGATTTTACTTTTACACATAGGCTTGAGACTTGCGTAAAGAAACTTTAAGGTGTTATTGGAGTTATGATTATTACCAGTTCTCATGTCTTGATTTAAGAATCAGTACTGTGTCACTACTGTAACATAGTGAGAACCTAGAGTTTGAAGTGTTTAGTGACACATGGAATTAGAAACATGGGATTTATTTTTTACAAAGTTATTTTAGTGGCATAATTGACCTTCATTAGCTGGATTCTTGTGCCTATCCATGAGAACTACCCCAACTCGCCTTATGTGGTTGTTTGTGGATTATCACTGTGAAGTGAAGTCCAACATATGTTCATGAACCTTCCATCCTTTTCTTCTTCCTTTCTTAAACGGTTTTGGGGGCATAACCACTAAAATTAGTGATATGCTGAATAATGGATTCTTGTGCCTATCGATGAGAATTACCCCAACTTGCCTTATGTGGTTGTTCATGGATTATCAATGTGAAGTGAAGTCCAATGTATGTTCACGAACCTTCCATTCTTTTCTCTCCTT